ATTACATGTTCTCCTGTGTACGCACAACTCAATTTCATCTCCCGAAACCCAATGACCAAAATTGGCCACATTGGACAATACGGCTACTTAACTCAACGGGTGTACTATCGAAAATTTCCAATATATACAAAATATGTGGCGAATTGAATGGTGGTCACCAAAACCCTACTACTTGTACTCTGACAGAACAGAACTAAGTAACAGGGCTAACTCTTATATGATATATGTACAGTTATCTACTCAAAGACTAGCACTATGTAAGAGCATATTTTAACTTGGGTTTCGTAGAGACTTCTTATCACCCATTACACTTATATTTTGTCTGAAACGTATAACGTGAACCCAAAATGTTAAGTTTTGCAATTGTATGCATATCCTTGTATTATAACGAACAGCCAGTTATACGTACTCCCTAGTATAATGTTATATATGCAGCCAAAAACTTCAAGAAACAACTAACATTGCAGTTACATGTACTTCCTAGTATACGTACTGTGCACTGTCTGTATTTTCGAGATGCAAACAACAATACGCTTTAAGCCAAAATAGTTTAATGCATAACTATATGTGGAATATGTTCCTTTAATAGGTAGTGATTGTGAGTGAATTGTTTCTTAATACATCTCTTCATAAGAATGCATAAATCTAATATCGTAATGCTTGCATTAATTGTACTTGCAATACATGTTTTCGTAATTTGTACTTAGAATTTCGCAATTTGTAATCTATTAACGTAATATTTGCATTATTTGTACTTGTTAATACCTGTTTTTGTAATTCTCACCCAATATTTTGCAATTCGTACTGTTTAATTTATCTGTAACTACTATTTGTAATAATTCTTGTAATTATTTTTGGTATTTGTATTATCAATTTATTTGTATTATTATAATATTATTTGTGATTCCTGTTTTTGTAACTTGTACTTAGTATTTTGCAATTTGTATTGTTTTCTATTTTGCACTTATCTATACAGTAAATACATACTGTAACGGAGGTTTCGTAGAGATTTTATACCGGGTAAACATTTACCTTTTGTTAGATTTGCAACTATATGTAAATCATTGAACAAGAACAGCTACTCGTAATACCTGTTTTGTGATTTGTACTAATTGTTTTGCAATCTGTACTATCTAATTTATCTGCAATTATTATTAGTAAGTATGTAGGATTATTATTAGTAGTATGCAATTATTATTAGTAGTATGTGGAGTCGGTAGGGAAAATGACCGACTCCGACTTCTGAAATTTTAATAACTCTAACTTCGACTCCTTAATATATACGTAAACATGGTAATAGCTTATTTTTTTAATATAAAATAAGTAATAGATGCTACAGGAAAAAAATTGATGCATAGCAAATTTTTATTATTTAATATTAAATTTTTTATATTATTATGAAATGGAAAAAATGGCATTAGTAATTTCTAAGAAACAGTAAAACTTCGGCAAGATCCTCTTTGTTAGAGGACCATAGATCCAATTTGTTAAACTTTAGATCTGAGAAGAATCTTTCCACACTGACTTGAGATAGGAAGAAAAGCTGTTACTGTTAGGGCTACTTCCTTTAACTTTTCAGGATAAATTTTTATAAGTTCTAAAAGAGGTGTCTTGCAAGAGGAATCATATTTATGTATTTCTTGAAAGGCCGTGTATAAATCTTGTTTGTATTTTTTCATTTTTATACCTAAAGGCTCTTGGTTATTTATTTTCATTCGCTTTGCCTTAGCCAACAATATTATCCAAAACATAAAAAATATTATTGATTTCTTACACCGCCAAAGACTGGACCTGTGTCATCATAGCGTACAATCTCAATAATCCTCTAAGTTCATAAAACGCAACATAAGAATATCCACTCTCACCCTCATACTATACAGGAGTGCCTTTAGAAAACACTAAATATATCCATATTGAGACAACCGTACTTTTCTCATACCACGAACTAGAACTACTTCTACTGTGCAATGTGTGACAGATCACCATACTATGTACTCAACACTATGTACCATGAAATGAATTCATAAACTGTATGCTTTATGAACTGCACTATGAATGATAACTTATAAACTGTGAATCGTGTAACAAAAAAACCAAACAACAACGAACCACATACCATAAGCACTCCCCCCCCCCACCCCAACAAAGCTCCAAACCGAAAACAAAAGAAATATGTATATACATCTGTAAATAACTTATTGTAATTATCCATTGTAATTATTGTATCTATCCATTCAACTGCCAAATACCCGTGTAAGTATATCTGAGACAATATTGTCGCAATGCAAATTAATGCACATTAATATATAACAGTGTATTATGAATGCTGCTTGCTGCAATGTAAACTAATTCCCGAGCATGGTGTTAGCGTGCCCGGTAAGGGTACACTTCTATAGATGGTTAGTGCAGTGGGGAGATACCAGTTTTGCTCATGGCGATGTTTTGGTGCCTCCTGTACTTCTTTCTGTCTGTCTGTCAATATTATCCAAATATTTTTCAAAATCTAATTCATCAGTGGAAGACGATGATAGAAACTCAGTTACAATATCTGCAGTTTCTGATTTGAATACCCCAGTTGTTCTGATAATAATTTCATTCTTAATGAAAGTTCATAGATGCCTTTCTTTGCCTTTTTAATTTGTTTGTCATCCAATAAAATTTGGCGATTTGGATATACATATATCGAACCCATCACAATCTTATTGTCTAGCAAACTAGTTTCTCTTTTCTTCATTGAAGAAATGATTCCTTCTGCAATAAACCCTCCAGAATAGAAGAGAAACACGCCAATGTGACAATCAAAATCTCAATAAAAACCTTGTATTTAGCGTACATATATTAAAACAATCGATTTCGAGGGCAGCTAAAGGTCCCTCCTCATCAGAAGAACGAAATTACTAATTACGAAATTAGAAAGGGGAAAAAAGAAGAAAAATAAAGCATTGGCAAAGGAGTCTCAGAAACACGTGGTCGTTATCAGCAACGCACGTTTACTTAAACGGATTTTGAATCAGAGTCACACCGACCGCCCACTTTTACTGAGCGAGGCTATCGGATCAAACATAAAACACATAGACTAAAACGGGAAAAAAAAATTCATTCGAGGTTCAGACTTGGTGCGTGAAGGTGCAGTTGCCCTTCGTTCCCTATTTTTTGACTTCGCTGATTTTTTTGATTGCCTGCTTTGTCTTGGTGTAGTTATACTGATGGATGGCACTGTAGGTGAAGAGAAGATATTTCATATTTGAAAACTGGGTATAAAATATGTTCCTCTGTAATACAGAAAAGCAGTAACAATCATAAATCCCTCTAAAAAACTTTCTTTAGATTCTTTGAATCATATTTTAAGATTTTGCTTGTATCAAATTTGGCTTCTGACCAAGAATGGTACTGCCCGGGACGTGCAGTTCTTGGAAGGGAGGGACAGTGTTACGAAATGCCCAGCTGTGCTAAGATAGCTTCCCCGCAAAGCAGGATTAGGGTTGCCAGAAAGTGGCAGGGAAAGGCATGATTGCCATATTAGACGAGAAATCGCCCATTTGGCGATAAAATTGAAGATATGCCATGACGGAGCGAGAACATTCTAGAATGCATTCTTGGCGGTTTTCCTTTCCGCGTGTTCTCGAAGCTGGGATAAGCCTATATATACCCTGACTGTATGAGGATAATAGTATGTTGAGTTCAGTAATTGTGTCTTAAGTTCAAATCGAGCGAGTCAGGAGCTGTACTTTAGTACTTTGTCGTGAAGCTGTCTTCACAGTTATAGCCTGATAGCGTGTTGCTGATTATTTCAGCATGTTTGTCGTAGTTTTTCGACGACTGTACTGACACATAAATTGTGTTATGATTTTCATCAAGTGTTGTAATTAATCACTCCAAGTCCACGAACCCTAGTATGCAACAATATTTAAACGTGTATTTGGCTCTTGACCCTACTACCAACGTAGATTAACTGGCAATTAATATGCACAACCGTAAAATAGCAAGCATAAATAGCAGACACCTAACGTGGCCGAAAAGCAGAACACGCTGTGTCTGAAGTAACTCAGACACCACCTTAAATAGTAACTTTCTACCCTACTTGGATAATAACTGACATATTCTGGCAGGAAAGCGTAGATTGAAAACAAGAGATAAAGAAAAGGTTGATTCCAGAAAAGAATTATCTGTTAATAATAATAAATAAAAACCTCACAACTTGAATAAAAGTAGTTTTAGATATTTATAAGCTAAAATACTGAACAGGCAAGTAAAAGCCTGACATTCCTCTCCCCTGAAACTGTGAAATTTCCCTCTGGTTAAGAACGCCTGCTCTAGCCTGTATGAAAATGGGAGAGCAAGCTGTAGTGTCCATGATATGTTGACATGCAGGGACTATTTTTACGATGAACTGTCTAAAGTGTGAGATATTGCTGCAGAAACATTGCTTTCTTAACTGAAACTATTTAACAGAAGTTAATCAGGAAAAGACCAAGATGACTGCTAAAAAGGAACCACGGGCCCTTCGGCTGTTGAATCGCCATGAGGTGATTTTAGTGGGAAGAAAAAGTGATTTATCGTATTACAGAATGCGTTAGTGATGCCAAGTTCTACCTTAACGTCTTCTCAATGAAAGTCTTTTCATAACTTTCTTTCAATACTTCGCCTAATTAGCATGTGTTATTCTATGTAATGCATGGGTATTACATACAATGCCTGTACAAAATACATAAAATATTTCAATAATTCGAATGTTTCCCTTTACTCCAAACGTCAGATATTCAATATATTTCTCAAACATTTCATAGAACGCTTATTCTTCATACATTGGCCGTATACATCTGGAAAGAATTTTTGCGTTATAAATCCATTTTCGAAGTTGGATATACGTCAGAAACTTTTTAAAATTTGCTGTAATAAATCCTATAACTTGTAATGTTCTGCTTTAAAATAGATGTTTAGAATGAACGAGTAGGAAAAATAAAAGTTAATTATTGTTTTATGAAATAATTGTTTTCTAGAAGGATTTGATGTTAAAACTCCTACGAAACCGCCCAACTCCTTTCATTTGGAGATGCAAAGTGACGAAGAGGACAACGACAGTACTAAACCTACGAATCAGAAATTTGTCAATTTCCTGTCCGGATGGGTGTCAGCTCACAAATATGTAGAGAGTAAGAAAAGAGTTATTTTCTTTTCCTTTCTATTTTCTCCTTTTCCCCCCTCTTTTTTTCAAAATCAAAAGTGGACATAATATACAGTGCCCACCAAAAGTTAAGGAACAACATGTTTTTTGTGTGTAATTTGAATATATAGAAATAATAAATTTACAGGACATGTTCATTAAACGACTTTAATGAATGCGATGTAGAGTGTTTCTAAAGTTCAACACAAACATGAATTACAACAAAAAATTGCACTTTTGGCAGATAAATCGAGTCTTCGAGAAACAGTATATCACAGTTTTTTGAGGAAAAATGGGATGGTAACATTACAAAAATGGGTTCTATTAAGGAATATATCCAATCCTAGATGCAATACATTGGCGGCAGCGAAGTTCCATGCTGTAAATTAAGTTGCCGGTCAGTGAAATGGGAAGCGACGACCAGACATGGAATAATCCTTTTTCAAGCTCTCTAACGACTTAAAGCAGCAACCTGTCTTCCAAGGTAGTACCAGAGATGCTCTATCGGATTCAAGTTTGAGGACTGAGCTGGCCATTCCATCCGCTCCATAACCGTGATTCTCAAGCTATTCTTCAGCAACCCAAGCTCAGTGCGGGCGCGCATTGTCGTCCATCAGAAGAAATCCCGGACCAATAGCAGTAGCATATGGGCGGACATATTGATCAAGGATCTCGTCTCGATATCTTGCACCGGTCAAAGTTCCTCCATGGAACACATGCAGGTCAGTGTGACCACCGAGAAAGATCCCAGTCCAAACCATTATTCCACCACCTCTGTAACTGTGTCTTTCCACAATGTGGGATTGGTTGTTCCCTCCAGATATGCTGACGACCTGAATCACTCTTCAATGTGAACCTGGACTCGTCTGTGAAGAGAGCAGACGCCCATTATTGACTAATCCAGGTGTTCACTTGCCCAACATAAACGGGAACCTCTGTGTCCTTGGGTCAATGGGACACAAACAGTTGGTTGTCTTACATACAGACAATGTGCAGGTGTCTGCGCACTGTAGTAGCTAAAATTATTGTTCCTGTTGCCACTAAATGATCTGCTATGAGCTGAGGCACAGTAATGTTATTCCTCCTTCGGTCCTAAAGAGCTAAATAACGGTCTCCCCCAGATGCTGTAACGCTAGGTCTGCCTGAAATATGTCTTCTAAAAACAGAATTTTCGGATTCAAACCGATTACATAGTCGATTGACCACACTACGAGAGACATTGAGACGTCTAGCAGCATCAACTTGTAAAATCCCCATTTCCATCCATCCGATCGCCCGCTACCTCAACGAATCGGGCAAACGACTTCTCATGAACATTGACAGACTCTCCTGGACATTGTTCATGAAACTGTAATAACAACTGAAGATCAAAACTCGTGAATAAAAATTACAATTTTTGCATTTTTTTTCCAGCTCCTATATAAATATTCATTTCTATATAAAATAAAAGTGGTAGCTATTATTTTTGCATATAATTTCTTAAACTTCGTTACTGTCATGCATATGAACTATAAACGTTACTGACATTTTTGTAATGGTGAGCTTTGAAAAACATGCTGTTCCTTAGATTTTGGAGGCTTCAGTGTACTTAAATTCATGGATGAACGCAGGGCGGTCATAAACAAACTTTCCGAATGGGAACCCCTAGCGGCCCATCCGTTCAATTAATCGAAATGAAATTTCGGATATTGTAATTTGAAGGTACACGCTGGAGGTTGTGATGATTTGAAATAATAGAGGTCTCATGTTTACAGTTACAGTAAAACCATTTCGAAGTTCTCGAATGTCAACTTCTGAATGGCCACTTTTTCCTGCGCAAATCAATCAGCGCATTGAAAAACCATAATGGCATTGGAACGATATATATTTGATGAAAATTGCCGGATTAAAACATTTGCAAAGATGAGTATTGTAAAGGACCAATGGCAACTAAGAGAGGAGAGGAAAATAACTTGATTGACATTACAAGTTTTCATCGTGCCGACTTTCGCGGATGATAATGCATTACATGCGGGAGATGATTGATAACAATGACGAATCTAGCATCGCAGGAAGAATCTGTAACTTCACGTCTTATGGCACGTTTCAGTGCCAATCTCATGGATTTGATGTGTACACCATAGAATTCAGATAACCATAGAACCAGAAATTTATCGGAGATCGGCGGATTGCTGTGGCCACGAAACTGTAAAGTTACAGGAGATGCGTCTATCGTAAAACGTTGTACACGTTAGAAACTTGTAATTGCAATAAAAGTTGTTTCCCTTCTAGTGTCGTGTGTTGTCGTTGTTCCTTTACAATGCTCTTCTTTGCAAATGTATTACGCCGGCAATTTTCGTCATACGTGTATTATTCCAAGGTCAGTTATGGTTTCTCAAAGGGCTGTTAAATTAGGGTGTGATAAGGTGGCATAAAGGTTCTTTGTCTAGGATGAGTTTTCAGAGTGCAATAGTTTTCAAATCCGTGGTGAAATCCTTTGCCTTTGTTAACGATTCCGGTTGCAGCCTCGAAGGTCGCTCCAGTTGACAAAGAAGTAAAGTCTTTTCTTTTCATCAGGATCAGGAGATGAACACTTTGTTAGGTAGGAGTGAAAGAATCTAGTTCAGCGCAAGTAAACACAGGGAGATACTATATAAGGTGGTTTCCTGAGAAGAGAGGACAAACTTTCCTGTTTAGAGCGGTTGTAATTGCAATAAAAGTTGTTTTCCGCCTAGTGTCTTGTGTTGTCGTTGTTCCTTTACAGTGCTCTTCTTTGCAAATGTATTACGCCAGCAATTTTCGCCATAAGTGTATTATTCCAGCGTCAGTTATGGTTTCTCAACGGGCTGTTCAATTAGGGTGTGATAAGGTGGCATAAAGATTCTTTGTCTAGGAGGAGTTTTCAGAGTGCAATAGTTTTCATATCCGCGGTGAAATCCTGTGCCTTTGTTAATGATTCCGGTTGTAGCCTGGAAGGTCGCTCCAGTCGACAAAGAGGTAAATCATTTTCATCAAGGTCAGGAGATGGACACTTTGTTATGTATGAGTGAAAGAATCTTCCCCCCCCCCGGGAGTTCAGCGCAAGTAAACACAGGGAGATATATGAGGTGGTTTCCTGAGAAGAGAGGACAAACTTTCCTGTTTAGAGCGATGGGCATGTTGGCCTGCTAAGTACTATCATTCCTCGTGTTAAAACTGTTAAGGTTTTCATCTTATTAAAATTCATGTTATTGTTAAAACTTTAGTTTGAAGTTTATTTTAACCCTGTGTCACAACCCAGGGTTTGCGTAGCGGTTTCGGCCACTACACTACAATGGCATGGAAAAAGTGGGTGTTACCATTCGAAAATTTTGAATTTTTTTACTGTAACCGTAACTGTGAGAGCTGTGTTGTTTTTAAATCGTCACAATCTCGAGCGCATACCTTCAAATAATAATATCTGAAATTTCATTTTGATTGGTTGAGCGGATAGGCTGTTAGGGGTTCCTATATCGGGAAAGTGTTTTTATGATCACCCTGTATATTTCGTGCATAAAACTTTGCATTTCAGTGAAGTCAAAATTTGACAAGAAATGTTTAATATTTGTGATCATGTGCAAAGCCTGTGAAGCAGAGCTGGATTAACCATTGAAGAAAATAAGCGTGCTTATGGTATCAACGAGTGGGGACACTACAGAAAACTTTTTAAGGACACTAGAAGAGGGGGCACCATAAAAATTTCTCATTGCCGACATTACAGCGGAATGCGTGGTAGAGCTGAACTAAAAATGAGACACAAGGAATGAGGGAAAAAATGTGCGTTTGTGGGGTCACTTAATTATCTTAAATGCTTAGGTCCTTTAAAAGTCTTAATGCAACTCTGATATGAAGTGGTGAGTGGTGGAGTAAAATTTTGGAGTTACTGGGAATTTTCATTGCTATGTCGATTGTATGCTGCAACATTTCTCAGTCTGTGGTTCTCAAAGCCTGTCCTTGTAGATTTCTAGATTTCCAAAAAGGACACAAAATAAAATTCAAATTAATTGCATATAATAAAATTCCAATTAATTTTATATAATAAAACTCAAATTAATTTATGCATTTAATTAATTGTATATATTCAAATTAATTGAATCTGGAAATTACACATGGCAAATATCTATCTCATTTCGTATTTTAAAAACGTAAGTATACTAATAGTAACTTTGCTAAAAAAAATTGCTTTCGATGGAGGCGAGAATAATGTGGCCCGCAGAACATCCTGTAATGTATATTTTAATTTTATAACAGTTATTTTAATTGAATATTTCCTATCTTACCTCGTTTCAATTTACAACTCCCTACCAGAAGGAGTTTCAGAATTGCGTTGAATGCAAATGAGGAAGAAAGATTATTAAAGGAAAGTTCAACTGACTTCAAGAGAGAGAGTTAGGAATCCTGAGTAGCCTGAGTAATAGCCTTTGGGCTTGTGTTTCTCTAAGCTGTTTTTACCTTCGGCCGTATTATTACGTGCATTTTCATAGTTCGCCGTCTAGTTTAAGATTAGAGGCCAGCTACAGTAGAACAGTGTTAACTTCGACTAAATCTATTAGTTAGTTATAGTTAGTTCCTATTTCATACTTTTGAGTTTAAGCCCAAATGGAGGCTTTGCTGTAAAACCGATGAAAGGGGCCGACTGTTAATCTTATTTTGAGTGAATAAAGGGTAATTAACCCTTCTTGAGTTTACGCTTTCTGTTCTTTGAATTAAGCGATAATTCGCTTAGCAGTTCACTAGGTTTCTTGACATTTCATTTAGCAGGATGAAAGTGAAGAACTCTACATATAATCCCAGCCTGTAAAAGTAGTCTGCACTTGAAAGGAATTTAAGAAACATCGGTATTTAGCATTAAAGCAGAAGCCTACGCATCCTTGAAAATAGTTTTTAGACGCTTAACATCCCTTTTAAAAGAGAAATATAAATAAATAGCTATTCATATACAATCTTACTTTTAATTGACAATTTTAACAATACAAATGCTAATTAGTAAAG